CAAGTGGCATCACTGTTGATTCGAATGGGGGCCGATCCATCATATCCTGGAGACAAGGTACGTTTTACAATATTTAGAATGAAAATTAGAGAATCAGCTGAGATATTCTGTAGAGCGCTCTATCCTACAACGGACGTACCGCACTGCATTACGCTGCACAAGTGAACAACGTTCAAATGATAGAATTTCTTATCAGTAAGGACGCTAACAAGGATGCGCAAGACTTGGAGGTTAGTATACACTTACTTTGAAAATTTTTCATTTTAAGCTTATTTATTTAGGATCGTACTCCGCTGTTTCTCGCTGCATCCCATGGGCATGTCGAGGCAGTGCAAGCACTCGTCAAAGCTGGAGCATCTCTGGAAATAACTGATCAGAAGGTAGTGAATTCGAACGAAATTCCTTTCAGGATAAATGAGCACAATTTCAGGACCGCACTCCTTACAAAGTAGCCGAAGAGAATGAGTTCAGAAATGTTTTGGAGGTTCTGGATTCCGAAGAGAACAAAACTAGTGTACCGCTGCATATGGCCATAGGAAAAAACTCCGTAAAAAACAACAATCGTCAGGTTAAGGTATGCATCCAACTTGTTCAAAATCCTTATTCCTACTTAATTTATAATTTCAGCGGATTCCTGTCAAGCGGAAGCCACAACCGCTTACACCACCGCATTCTGATGGCTGTGGATCGACACCTTCACCTCACACTACAACCTACGGTCCTTCGTCGAGACCCACAGCGTCAGTTCTGGACTCCCCTTCTAGTGATCGTACAAGTAGCGGGAATGATGGATTTTCTCCTGGATCACTACCGATGGTATGTTCTTAGGATCATTTGTTCCCGGAAGGTTTTTCTATGCCATCTATCATTTCAGACACACCCTTCCTACTGGACCTCAGATGTCTCTCATCAATCCCCACCATATGAGGGCACTGAGTTAGGAGTTTGTTCGTACTACGGAAATTATGCCATGCAAAACTCATCCTATGCTCAAACTTTCTCTGCCACCGCCTATCCTTCATGCCAGTATTCAGAAAGATCCGCTTATTATGCGAATCAGGTCTAACCTCCAAACTCAATCTAAATCTGTCTAGCTTTTGTCATGTTAATCGCAAACCCTTATCAAGGCTGATAAGTTAATCAGCTACCTAGTTCAACCAATGATTTCAAAGTCAGTTTTGTTGTTCCTTGCAGAGCGACGAAAAATCGCTTTCCACATAGCTCTTTGTATTATTAACCAGGGTGCCAGTTCCATAAAAACGAATTTTTTCGCTAAATAATGAATGTTGTTCATTTGTACATATATGCTCATACTCGCCACTATGGAGAGCTATCTTTATGCTAGTGTCCTAAACCTGTGAATTGTAAATCAAATGTCATATACTGTTCATGAAAAGCGTTTGTTGCACTTCGCTGAATTTCAAATGCGGGTTGTTTTGTCATTTGTTGCTGTGCATTTTCACTATAATAAATCTCATACTATTTATGTGTTCAAGCCAGCATAATCTTATCGTATAGAAACACTCTACAAAGCTTCATAAAATATGGGAAAACCTTAACAAATGGAAAACTTCACATAGCTTACACGCGTGCCCCTTCCGATGCATTGCTTGAAAACTCTGTGGGAAAACTATCGCGGATACCTTTAGCCCTTTCTAAAGCGTGGCTGCAAACAAATGCTTAAGAAAAGGATGACTTTTTTTGGCTGTTCAATTTCATGTGCTCAGGGAGTTGCACTAGCAAGCTCATCACGTCGCTAAACTCTGATAGAAGGGTGGGGGGAACAATAGTTCCTTCCAGAATTGTGGGGGATGAACACTGATATTTATAATTCAAGCGGAGTTTCTCTGAATATTAATTCGGTTTGGTTTTGTCAGCCTTTGCTTTTGAAATGAACCGCAAACCCCTTACAGTAAAGATAAAGAAATACTTCGAGCTGTATCTGATGCAAAATCTTCCTTTTTCCAGCAGCTGTATACATAATGTGATTCATTGGGACGGTGTCAAAATAATCGCTGGAAATTATAGCCCTTCGTTCCAACATTTCTAACTTCCGCTAAATTTCAGAATTTTTATCTGAGACATCCGGAACAGCTATTATACCCAGCAGATAGGGCAAACCCTTGGCCAACTAAGACAATTTTTTGTAGCTTTGTGGCTTATCTTCTGGAAATTTAAAAATATATTTCCTGAAGTAACCGAATTATACATTCGGTCTGCTTTAACCTTGTAGAACACGAAATGGCAAACAGTCCAGGCACCATTTGATGCGAATTTTTTCTCCACTCTCTAAAAGTTGTCTTTCCTTGGCGATACATGGGAAATTCGCGGGAAAAATCGCCGTATTCCTCAATCGCTGCGCAAGCACTCTAGGTTTCAAAACCATATTCTGCAGCGAAATCGCTTAATGTAAGGTTGGTAGCAGTAATACTGAGTTTTAAAATCTCAGTATTCCAAAAATTTTGCCGTGTTTCTACGATAACAGATTAATTGACTTTTTCGAAACCCAAAACTTTTGAAAAATTATTCAGCTATTATCAAAAGAGTAGCTGAAAAAAGAAGGAAAATTGCTATAGCTAGCAAAAACTTTGCTCTATCCCCCCAAAAGTCTCAAATTTTTGAAGCGGAATTTGAACATGGTGAAAACGAAGGGTTGTAATTTCTAGCGAATTCGCACTCTTTCAACAGAATATATTGGAAAATAGAAGCGGAAAGAAGAGAAAATTTTGAATCAGATGCAGCTTGAACCTTTAGTTTATCTATATTCTACATTCTATATTCCAGAAGCTTTGTCTGATTATGATCTTCATCAGAACTTTATCATAATAAGACATTAGTTTACGTTTTCATCCTCGATTAATTGATCTGTATGGGAAATTAAGAAGACAAAACTAACCAGCCCAAACAGGAGTTTTATGCTTCTAAAGGCGCACTGTGCTATAACACTGGAATGATTAAGTTGATGCATAATTCTTGCACCAAAATCTTTGAAATTCCGTTACATCATCCAGCTTCAACGAAATCTTCAGGTTTGTTACATGTTAAAAAGAGAAAATCTTGAGCTTTCTGATGTGCTCGAGTGAAAGTTGAGGGCATATGGCAACGATATAAGTTGATCAAGAGAAACACAAGTAAAGTGAGATTTTTTGGCCACTAAATTTGCTAAAAGTCTGCTTAGTTTTATGACGTATTTTTTTT